ATTTTCATGGATACTTCATAAATTACTTTTTGAAAAACTAATTTACTAACTCTTTGTATCTAAGAGGATGGCATTCGATATTATTGAATATGACTGAATTCTTGACTAGTAAAACATAAATTTCGTAAATGATTTCGGCGGTACCTCAATTACTGCATGTAGTTTGTGAGAAATTATATTGTTTATTGAGTTAGACAAAGTTTGAAGGATACCTGCACCATTTTTTAGTGTCCGACCGAAAGTTCGGTTTCGGTCGAGTTTCGGCAAAAAAACAGGTTTCGGTTTAGTTTCGCTACAACCGAAACCGAAACTGCTTTCGTGAGTTCCCGCGTTGTGATCGGTCATGTTCGGCGCGTTGAATTTCATACAAGTGACGAAGACATTTTACCGAGTCCACGTGCCTAATCATATCATGATCTTTTGTGATATTAGGTAACAACTTAAATAAATAATTTTATGTTTATAATATTTGAAAAACCATCAATAATATTCAAAAGAAAGATCTGCATCTACTCAAATGAACACCTCACCTATTTTAAGTATTTTCAATTGATATTTCTTCTTAAATAAGGGTTTGTCATGTTAATTATCAATGAGAAAAAAATGTGGAAGACTGCATGACGTTGTGATTTAAAGATAAAAAACAAAGACTGACTGATTGTTATAACTTTTTCTTTATTTTTCCTTCAAATCATAATCTTCGTAAGGAAGTTTCGGTTTCGGCCGAAACTGAGACCGTTGCCGAAATTCGTTTTTGGTTGTAAAAACCAGTTTTGGTCGGACACTACTATTTTTATGAATTTTTCGTGCCATATCGTCTTTGTTTAGACTGTGGACAAAAAATGGTCAGCTAAGCAGCATAGACAAGGACGTGGCGATAACGTCAGTCCACAAAGAAGCTACGAGGATGCCATGTGCCATGTTGTGTTGAATCAACAAATATGTGACAGTTTTAATCAAAATGTGAAGTGAGGGCCCCTTTTATTCGCACTGGTATCCAGACTGGGGTGGTTCGGATATCCATACACAAGAGGAAATTGGCCAAATGCGCCCGGTCATGCGGAGAGAGAGCTGTGATCTAAGTTACATAAAATATGTATTTATCAATAATAAAGTGTCAACAACTTAAAATTCGAAAACTTACTAGACTAACAAAAAGACATTCTTTATTGAAAGAAAACTGTGGAATATTTTAAAATTAATTAGAACAATAAATCATCATAGTGTGAATAAAATGTCATAAAAAGCATAAACATTTAATGAAAGAAAATGAATTAGATTACACAAAATTCTAATATAACTGAATAATTCAACAAACTCAATTTAATTATTATTAGCAGAACTTGATTTACATCCTAGTTGACACAACTAATTTACCATCTAGTTTGTTGTAGCACTTACAGATATTTCAAGTATCATTCTATAGTTGTTGGAGGCTAATTTATGCACATGCCTGTCGAAATTTTTCGCAAAGTTCCTTTCTGTTTCTTGGGCGTGTTTATAAACTTTTTTTGGGAGAAGTCTCCAGAGAAAGAAGTCTCAGTTTTTGAAAAATATATTTATTGGTCATACTTTTGAGACTAACAATAACTTTACTGTTAAGAGGCAGCCTAACCCCTCATCTCTGGGAGGGTTTTGATAGCATGACAATTCGGGCTAGTAATTTAAAAAATGTTCTATCTCTACAATACACTAACAGAATTAGCACGATATTAGTATCGGCCCTCCTCCCTGCCCATTGTAGTACGATCAAATTTCATTACTTCAAATGGAACTCCCTATATTCTACTTCATCAAACTCTATATTATATTATATTACCTTCGTATTACCTCACAATTATTAGGCATTCAATATGAAAAATAATTCATTCAACTATAACTTCCGCAGTACTAATTTTGTTGCAGTGTCTATTATGAAACCTTTGGAAAAAGGACTAATTTGAATTTGAATCATCAATTTTTCATATGGAATATCATACAATATCAACGCCTTTGAAAATATGGTCCCACTTAAAAATCGTGAAATACCAAGAAACAGTGGCGACTTATCTGCAATAATTTAGTTTTTTAGGAAACTTGCACAAATATTTTATCTTCTGATAGAGGAAAAAAATTATTTTTGAATAATTCAATGAATATTCTAAAAAAGGTTTCATTTATATATTGCTACAATCAGTGCAAAAGCCTATATAAAAACTGTACACTTCACAGGAGAGCACAAAGCTAATTAGTTTATTATGATTTATATATAATTTCATATTTTTTTCACATCTGTTGTTTTGATGGAATGATATGAAGTTTTATTGGTAAATCATAAGGGAGTAGTAATTAGTTTTTATGCTCTTCTATAAAGTGTATTCTTACATACAATATTTTGAACTAGCATTATTGATGTGTTCATTTTTTATTTTTTTTTTGGAGGTTTTCCACTTTTTTATGTAGATATCCAAAAGGGATTTTTTCTAAACTATCATGAATCATAAAGATCATATGCAATACATGGTTAATAAATTCTCATTTCGACAACTTTTGCAGAAACGAGTTGTATTTTTTGTCAGTTCACCTTTTTAAATTTTCATGATTAACAGTATTGTTTATTCACATTTCACTTTTCAAGTCCTGTTCATTTTTCCAGTACGCCCCTGTTGTTTCCTGTTCATTTGATTGAATATAAGTACTTATTATAGGTTGCGCTCTCAAAATTCAGGAAAACAACTGATCCGGTATACCTGACTTATAAGCATATTGGTCTCGGTAGTGGTCTCCTCGTCAGTGATATGTCCCTAATACAAATATCGGGTAGTTTTTCTTATATTTGCTAATACTGATTATGTGTGATGGAACTGGCCGATACTTGATGAAAACCCATGGTAACCAATTTTTATAATACACCCCGAATCCTCTCCGATTTTGCCAGGTTTTCATATTGTAACGAATTAAAGAAATAATTGTTTTAAACAACTTTATTTTTAACAATATTTCACTATCACAACTAATTTATATACAACCACTAGCAACTAACTCTTAATTTATCTTCACTGTTCGAATTCTTTATTTAAACGCACGATTCCTTTCTGAATACAGACCACTGCTCTGAACGAGAAGCGGCCTTTTTATATCGGAAACGATTGCTCCAGATCTCTCTAAGGGTTTCGACACTCATCTATACCTTTCGCGGCGGTTCGCCGTGAGTCATGTGTTTGCTGGCTGAGATATCGGTCAGGGCCGACTTCAGATTCGTTACAATATTGTAGATATGCATCTCAAAGCTCCTCAAACTTGCTCTGAGATATATATGTATGTAAAACGTTGATTGATCTGTTTTTGTTACATGATTTAAGTTGTGGATGGGTTTCTTTGTGTGGCTTCCTTTATATGCTTATGCCACTAACAGTTTACGGCACATTTTTTCTTTTTTCAATCTACCGCTTTCTTTACCACCTGCCAGTCTTTCCTGAATGCTTTTTTGGAGATCCAGTTCTGAATAGTTTCTCCTTCTGTTCTTATTTATTTCCTAGTATTTGATCTTTCTTAGATTATTTATTAAGACGGGAGGTTTCTTAAACACTATCTCTTAGACGATACTATATACTTACGTTTTTGTTTAAGCTTCTGGCATTCCTTAGGGCCTCCCTCACCAGCTATCTTTTATTTGATCGCTGTGAAGTCCATGGTAGAAAAATTAGTCATCGGCAATATATTTATTTATTTATTTAGTAGGAAAGCCTAATATTCAAAAAAATGCATTATTATGAGTGAACTTTCAAATGTAAAAATATCCGAGAAAAACCGAAATTTGAAAATATCGTTTTTATTTTCTTCTAGCTTTATTTTCAAAGGAAATGTAAAACGAATAGCACTTTGCCATGGCCACTTTTTAAGGACTACACGACAACGTAAGAAGAATTTTCCTGTGACGTTTCGTCGTTTAGCAAACATCATTAACTTTATATTTTTATATAGGCCGAAATTAAAGTGAATATAGCAACGTATCACACAATATGATTTCATAACCATTTCTCGCGCCAAATGAAAAGTGATTACTTAACCCGCTTTTCTTCAATTTTAGATAGTATGCGCTGATACATGAAGTAAATTGATTAGTTTTATTTATAATAAATTTTAACTTACCACTTGCCGGAATTTTTGCGTTGTTGAATACAAAGATGAGTCGCAATATCAAAAGTTTAGTTTATAAAATGTAATTGTAGTGTAATAACGAGGAGCTTATATGAATTATAGGAAATAAACAGAAACTTATAACAAGTTTTCAAATAACTCGCCGTTATTTTCTAAGCACAAGTACGCTCTTCTCACAGATTAAAACTTGAATTAACAAATTCGAAACAATATTGTTAAAGGATGCAGTGACCAATCTTAGCCAATCTTCAACATTTTGACAATTATGAGAGTTAACTTGATTCTTGATATATCCCCAAAAGCATATTATTAGGCACATAAATGCCCTACTTTTCTCTAATTCAATCGACCCCGTATCACTTACCGTTTCCGATATCCCTATGATGTTCATTCTTATCTTGTACACAGTATATATCCTTTTCGATATTTTTGAAGCGGTATTCAATTCAGCTCATTCAGTTTTTTGTGAATTTTATCACACAAATACATATCTTCACAATGGAATTTACAAATGATTCAACTTTATTTGTCAAAAAACCTATGAAAGAACATTTGATATTTCAAAGGTTATTTCGAAAATATTTGTGACTTATGAAAATGAAACATTTTTGCTTAATTTATTTATTAAAACGCATTCTACTCGACCATCGAATATAAAATTCGTTTATAATGCGATATAATTGTGCAATATCCCGCTTCATAAACGACATTAATTATATGGCTATTATTGATTTTAGTATACTTTGTTGGAGCATTTACAATCAAAAAAAGTTTTTGGATACTCATGTTTTAAAATTCAGTCACACTTGCGTTGACAGTAAAAGTTTTATAATAAGGTGCTGTAAAATGGACATCAGGAAAAAATGAAGAAATGCTAAATGGAACACTTTGTTTTTATTGAGTACCACATACAAAAATCTACACAAAAAAGATAGAACGATTGTGAATAAAATAACAAACATATCACAGTCAAAATTTCATTTGTGTCTCGAGAAGTGATAAATATTTTGGTGTACACACGCCTTGGTAAAGGTTGTTTTTGTTAAAAGAAATGGAACGTTCTAAACGTGGGTATGTAATATATCACTACGAACTCGATAGACGAAAATTTCAACAATTTCCTGTGCTTGTAGTCATCAGAATCGGCTCGTGTTTAAAATATTAGAACTATTTTGAAGCATTTCTAGTCAACGGTAATTTTAAATAATTCTCTTCATATTCAGCAAGAAGATAGAAACATTGGGAAGAATGACAGCAATGACCCAAGAGGAGATTGTAGCTGCTGTTAAGACCGTTGCCCAAGGTCTTGAAGCTCTCCGTTCCGAACATGCAGGTATTCTTCATGGTCTTCACGATGCTCCTGATTCCATTGTCAGCGAAAGGGCTGGATTCGTACAACATAGTGCCGAGATGATAGAACTAGGTTTAGGTGAAGCACAAGTGAGTAACATCTATTTTATATAGAACCTTTTGGATGAAATTCTCGTATGGCATTTTATGTTTAAGTTTCTTTTTGTGTAAATTATTTAAGGTGACTGAAAACTCGAAAGCAGTGAGGTTTTGATATCTCAAATTTTTTTATAATTCATGTCTGCAAAAAATAAATGAAAACCTAAATTTTNCTATACTAAAATTCCATAATAGTAGGCACTAAATTCACAGAAATGACTGACGTTTTTGCCCTAATCTGTCCCTTGCAGTGGCGTACCGAAATTAAACTTAACAGATAAGGAAAAATTATGATAAAATATATTGAAAACAGTGTTTACGTTTTAATGCAATAATATTTCCTACTATTATGGAATTTTACTATACTGGGTTGGCAGGAATAAACAGCCAAGTTGATAATGGTAATTCACACCCATCTGTTAAAATAAATACACCTTTTATCAAAATAAGAGCTGTTTCATTGTGAATACAATGATACAGGATTATCTGTGAAAAATTTGGCCTGAATGATTGGTGTGCGCTTTAAAAAACCAAATTTTTATGCCATTTAAGATTTTGCAATGAAGAGGTTTGAGCGAACTGTAGTGTATAATAGAAGAGAATGCAGCATTGCGTCGTAATTATAAATTTCCACCTCAAATTGGATAATGGCTCTGTTCAATGTTTCTCATACTTTAATATTTAAATTGCTCTGCTATGTTTCTCCAGAGTATTTAATTAATAAAGTGCCATCGATTTTTTTTCCATTGTCTGAAAATCGTAAAATGAGGTACGTTATTAGTGAATTTCAAAAATAAAAGCAATTCTTCACTAAAAGGTTAGATTGATCAGAGCAGCTGAATAGTTTATTTAGTTTGCTTTATGTTTGTTTATATCCTGTGATTACCTCATAAACTCATTTGGCTGGCTAATTATTGGGGTAGGATTCATTAACTTTCTGAATTTAATCTATTCTGTTATACAAGTTAACAGGACATTACTTAAATTTATGTTATAAACACCCAATATTGCATTAAAAACTGTTACAGGTATAACTCAGAAATTTTCTCGAACGTCTCATATACATTTTCATACTTTTTGAATGATGCAACTAATTTTCCTTTATTTTCAGTATTTTGAGTTTGAGTTTGAGTAGAGCCTAGATAATGATAGCACAACCAGCTGTCGAAAGCGCCCGCATATAATTAAATAGAAGTTATAAAGCTTCAAATCCTTTTTGTGACTTACATTAATATTAAAATACTGAAAATAAAGAAAAATTAGTTATAACAATAATTAAGTAAACTGTA